GGGTTTTCGGGTATTTTACGGGTTGGGTTAATGAAAATCCTAGTAGGTTCGGTCGGGTGCGGGTTGTCACGTGAAAACCTGACCCAGAGCTGGGTTCGGGGCGGGTCCTAGATCTTGAACGAACGACCCGATGCCAACGCTACTCACGAGGCAGTGAACCCTCGAAACAGAAGGTCAGAGGATCTGATGTAGACGGAAATACGTGACCATAGACTGCATTTGAAGCGCCTAATTTACTTGGCTGCCCATCAATATTTCTATCAAGAGCCGCGCATCGCGCGCAGTAGACTCTGGCGGGCCGCAAAAGGAATGAAAATCTGATAAATCAAACGATCGGCATCTTCAGGCTCACCCAAGCATAGTTTTCTACCCCTGACCCATGAACATATTTAAGTCAAAACAATCTGCGCATTGATTCATTTCACTGTAGCCCATACGAATGTGGGACTTCCTTAGAAGCATCCGGCTAATCTTGTAGATACAGGACACCGGAGAACATATCCTGTGCTCTAAAACTCCTGTAGCGAAGCCTCTATGTCACATGCCTCGGACATTGCATGGCGTTAAGCTGATGGTATACAACGAGCTCATTAACCCCAAATAGGCTTGTTGTCTTCCAGCGTGCGGCTCTTGTCCTCTTTCTTATGCCTTAACTCCATCACTGAAAAAGCGTATCGCGCTGGCTTTATTCCCAAATTCAGTTGCATGCTGCTTTACCGTTTCAACTATCCTTCGCTCCGGTAATTTTAGTTTGTTCATAGGTGTTGTAATCAAAGTGTTGACCTAGTTTATGCCACAATAAAGCTTTACCCCAGACTGCCCGTCAACTACATAGTCCAATGCAATCGATCTAACCACACTGATATACTTCTCATTTGGGCTTCACCTTCCATGTTCATGTAAGCTTTTTGCATCGTAGCTCCTCCACGGCCCACCTCTTTAAGCCTCCTGATGAGCATCTTCTCCTAGGCTAGTCTCAATTCGTCATCGATCAATAGATGTATTTCTTGCGTCACGTATAATATGTATAGCCATTGGAATCTGTCACTAGCACCTGCGATACAAACCATAAGGCAAGTAGGCACCTCCTCACTTCTCGTTGCAGGCTTTCCATGTTCCATATAGCCTCATAGAAGACCGAGAATTGGATGTCGATGCCTCAACCCAGTGTTTTAGGCACACCACCCCCTATAATTTCCCTGAACCGTCGCACTGTCAAGCTAACTGTTCGTAGTTTTGCAGCGTTTCCAGGGTGTTCACGCTCTTGTTTCGCTGCATATAAGTCGCCTTCTTCATGCCAAGATGACACAATCGAGTAAGCCCTCTTTCCATTCCATACACATGCCTACTAGAGTGCGTGTTTCAAACGGTGTACTCAAAACCAACCAAGTGGTCCTCGGCTGAGCCAGCATACGATAAATCCCAGTTGAAACATAACCACAGTTTGTATAAGGAGCGACGCAATCATTACTATTCTATTACGCGTGACCACCACCCTACAGATGAGACATGTACGGAATCCAAAATCCTCGCCCTCGTTTCCATCCTCCCTGGCCATTCTCTTTCCGATAGGAGACAATTGCCAGCACTTGACGCACCCTGACATGGGGTAAGGGCGTGAAAGTCAAGTTGCTCACATCTGAAATCGTATTCCCGGGCTATGACTTCCGCATCATTTCACCCCAGAGAGATTTTTGGGGGGCCCCATTGACAGCTCGACATGCCGAACTCCCAACATGATCTCGTTAACCAGTATCCACAAGACCTCAGATGTGTATGTGAGCGAGTGGGTCACTTGAAAGACTGCCAAAGATCGTAGCCGACGTCGCAACTTCATGTTCTAACTCAGACTGATCTGATGGGAACCAAAAGAACGTAGAGGTGTGTAGTTGAATTGATGGCGACTGACATGTAGGGCAGAATGGTAGGGCTTGAGCATTTTCCCTTATTCAAGCCTGTCCATGCATGTGAAATGGGGGTACAATGGAAGATGGCAAGGGAAAGGAAGGCAAGATGGCTGATTGATACAAAGACAATCCCGCGGATAATAAGATGCCGGGTTGCAGGATCTGGACCCAAGACTCGATAGTAAAATAGAAGCAAGCTCAACTTCACCTCAGGAGTTAAGAGACAAAATTTGTTGAGCGATGGAAAAGTACTGAGCAGAACAGCTCGTCAGACAGTGGCCGCAAAAAAGCCGAAAAGATGGATAGATTGGGAAGGAAAACTAGCCTTTAAAGCCGGCACAAGCCAAGTCACGAGAGAGGGAAAGCGAAGGCAGAGTAGGTGGAGAGGCTGTATCTATAGATGCATTCAAATCAAGCTCTCCTGCTCACACCGCCCACCCCGGCGCCTGTTCCGACTTCAACAAAACAAATCTACAACCGCCTCGACTTCTCTCACTATGGGTAGTAACGTACTGGGTATAGCTATTGCACTGCTACTGATTGTATACACTTTCTTTCTTACTGTTTATTGTCTTGGCTTCATTGCTGATATCTTCTGATCAGTATCCTATTAGCCGCATTATTTCCAATGTTTTTTTTAGCTCACTCAGCCATGTGCCGGGGCCAACTCACTGGTCGGCCACACGCCTTCCATTCGTATGGGCGCTCCTTCGGGGCGCAATCGTTCATGACTTTGGGAAAATGCATCGCAAGTACGGCACCGTTGTGCGTACGGCCCCAACGAGGTCAGCTTTGCCAGTGCTGACGCTTGGACCGAGATCTACGTGAGCCGACCTGATGATCAACAATTTCTTAAAGACCCAATATGGTGGGGCAGGCAGCCTGGTCAAGCTGATTCCCTGTTGAGTGCCATTAACCCAGGCAAACATGCCCGTATGCGCAAATTACTAGCGCCAGCCTTTACGCCGCGTGCTCTGCGGACGCAGGAAGAGGTGATTAATAATATGTGTCCCTCCTTGTACACCGGATCCGGGAGCAGGTGGAAGCAGGTAGGAAGGGCGGGGTGGAGATTAACATGACTCCCTGGTTCAATTTCACTACGTTCGATATATTTGGTGATCTGGGCTGTGGTGAGTCGTTTGATTGCCTTCAGCACTCCCAGTACCATCCGTGGATCGCTCTATTATTTAGTAGTGTCAAAGCTGCCTCATTCGTTGCAGCTGCGTGGTATTACACCCTGGTGGAGTCACTGTTGATGAAATGTATTCCACGGTCCTTGGAGGAAACGGGTAAACGTCATTACCAGCACATTGTGGACAAGGTCGACCGGCGTCTTCACTGGGAACTCCAGAGATCAGACATCATGTCTCATCTTGTGGACGAAAGTGGTCATGTGGCATTTCCGCGCGAGGAGCTTGACTCGACCTTCATGATTCTGACCACAACCAGCAGTGAGACCACTGCTACTGTTCTAACAGGTATTTTGGCCTATTTGGTAAATCAGCCCGAAACGATGGGACGTCTTGTCCGGGATATCCGTCAGGGGCTCAAGTCCGATCCGGAGATTAGCCTGTCGGCGGCCTCGGATCTTACGTATCTCACCGCGGTCATTCAAGAAGGGCTACGACTTTGTCCTCCAGTGCCATGGATGCTTCCCCGCCAGGTACCACCTGGAGGGAGCATCGTGGTGGGACCTGGTTGCCGGGAGGGGTTTGTGAAATCATTTCCATTCAAGCCTCGAATGAAGAACTAAGTCACACCACAGACATCTGTTTCTCTCCAAGCCTACACCCTCAACCGGGACCCCTCTCGTTTCTATGCCTCCGCGTCTTTCATCCCCGAGCGATGGCTATTGGATGCCTCGGTCAACCCAAACTCGCCCTATTACCACGACGACCGCTGGGCTGTAAAGCTGTTCAGTATCGGGCCACGGTCTTGCCTGGGCCAGCACCTCGCATGGGCAGAAATGAGGCTAATCCTAGCTAAGCTACTCATAAACTTTGACTTTGAGGCTATTGACGGGAAACAGTTGCAATGGGAGGATTTGCGCACATTTTTGTTGGTCGAGAAGCGGCCATTGGAGGTTCGAGTGCGACTGGCCCAGCATGATTAGTGTTGCCACTACTGCTTTAGTCTGGTCGAAGCCCCTGACGTCTGAGCTTGGTTCGGCTCACTGACGGCTCGGATGATCGGACCTTAGTCGTTCCTAGTCTCGTTTGTCCATCCACGGTGTGTAGTTCAGCCTATGTCTGATTACGATTACTTATGATACTTGACTTACTCTAATAGCACCATGTTGGACCAATTCGGACTTGACGAGGGGTAAACCTCTACAATGTCATATTTGGCTGCGATACTCAATAACTACCAATGGCTGCAGCCACGTAATCCTCTAGAACCGTGGTGGTCTTTGCCTCTCGAATCACAGTGACCCTGAAGCTATATAGGGTCGTAGTAATGTACCAATATAAGTACAGATACCTCACGAGGGAGGTATTACCCCGTATAGAGGACAGAAGCGGTTGGACCAACAGGAGCGGTTCCCCGCCGGGTATTGTTGCCGCCAATGATCGACTGGAAAGAAGCCGTCCACAGGCTGCAGCCCCTGTCTCCAGGGGCTTCTTGGGCATGCCTAGTGCTTACCTTCAGGCTCGTACAGGGTCCCCGTGCACACACCGTAATCAAATGATTGGCCGAGGTCTCACAGTAGGCCCAGCCCTTGGGGTTACTGTAATGAATGGATAGCTTAGTCTAGACACTGTTGACAGGGCGCACTTGTGTAGTTCTCATATTAAGGAACACTGACGCCTAGTGAGGCTAGGTTTGTTACTCCCCTCCTCTGTTGGAGAGTTTTCAGCGGACGTTTATAGGTTTGCTTCCCTGTCAGGGGTTCATACGCCATTAGTCCTGAGCGCGGTGGGCTAGGTGAATACTCCGGCACCTTGTGATCCGAGTGTATAAGGTTAATGGGCGTGAACAATGCCTCTGGTGTAGTACAACTGGGTAACTTCTTTGTTTGATGGCATACAGTGGATCACTGGCTTCACGGAAGCCAATTCGCCCATTCCCTTTCACCTGCCGTCAGGTTGGATCCAGTTCTCTTATCCGGTCCACCCACATAGCTACTACGATCACGGTCTGGCAAATGGCATCACACTTCGAGTACACCGAGCTGGACATCGACAGACCAAACGCACGCTGCATATCCAAGGGGTTGGACCGCGTCGTTGGTCCCATCTGCGAGTACCACAGCGGACCAGGACTGCAGTATTGTTTCATGCAGGCCACAGTTCCGAGATGCCTACTCGAAGGCCTTGAGCTAATCCTATGCAAATGAACTCGCCCCTCCCTATGACGGTGACTCCTCATCTTCCTCCTACTATTTCCATGGCAGATTTGGCCAGTAGTGGATAATGGGTGCCCAGTTTTCACAATTCTTTCCTCCACGCCCGACATTCACCATATCTGATGTCCCCTCACAGCAAGGGAAAGTCATCATCGTAACCGGCGCAGCGTCAGGGATCGGACAGGAGCTGGTGCGGGTGCTCTACCAAAAAGGGGCCACCATCTATCTCGCTGGCCGGTCTGAAATCCACGCCCAGGAAGCCATTCAGTCCATTCAAGCAACCACGATCACGACCACCGCGGGCCACCTGCATTATCTTTCGCTACATCTGGATGATCTCACGACCATCAAATCGACCGTCGCCGCCTTTGCTGCCAGGGAAAGCAAGCTAGATCTCTTAGTCAATAACGCGGGTGTCTCTTAGCCTCCTCTGGGCAGCGTCTCCGCGCAAGGCATCGAGCTGCAAATCGCCACCAACTGCCTAGGTCCATTCCTCCTGACTCAGCTTCTTTTACCCTTTCTCTCCGCTGCAGTTTCTGTTCGTTCTCCTGCGCCCCGTGTCATCTGGACCAGTAGCCAGGTGGCGGAACTCTCGGCGCCCCCAGAGGGCATCCTTCTCTCCGAGCTGCGCGATCCCCCACGCGACGCGGTGCGGAATTATGTGACCTCCAAACTCGGTAACTGGTTCCTGAGCGTGGAGTTCGCCCGTCGGTACGGAGGTACGGGGTTGGCCAGCGTGGCCCAGAATCCCGGCGCGGCCAATACGAACCTGCTACGGAACGCACGGTGGATGAAGCTTCTCTCGTGGCCTTTGCTGCACAGCCCTGCGGTGGCCGCGAATACCGTACTGTACGCCGCCTTCTCCGAGGAGCTGAACCAGGCGGTACACAATGGCGAGTATGTGATCCCTTGGGGGAGAATCCATCCTGGTGTAGCACCGGGGCTTGCCAAGCACTTGGCCCAGGAAGACGAAGGCGGCACCGGTCGTGCCCGAGAGTTCTGGGAGTGGTGTATGGAGCGCACTCGGGACTATTTATGATAATTGTAACAGCAAGCTATCGTTATGGTATCACTCAGTGGCCCTGAGTCCATGTTTCTATCAAAGACAACATTCCTAGGCCGTCAGGAACATTTATATACAATCAGCTTTTGCCAAATGTTCTCGTAAAGTTATTTTAGGATCATGATGCCTGATGGTATGTCACTGAGTGAACTGCAGTATATTTTGTCAACGGGCCCAGATCGGGAACATGCTTTTAGCCTTCTTCATCTTATTCCTCCTATCTAAACTATCTAAGCTCAGAAAGCCTATTCATTGTGGGACCGCTTAGCGGCCGGAAGAACCCACTTTCCGGGCATACCAGCTGCCGGACGGAATCCTCTAGCCAACATATTTTGTATTCCTGTCTGCGGCATAGTGTACGGTCTGACGGTCCAATCTCCACACGCAGAATTAGTGTGCCAGGACAAGGGGCCGTGGGCTCTCGGAACCCACAAGGCAATTCAGCCTAGGTTCTTGCAAAAGCTGTCATGGAAGTATAGTCACTTTATAATTCCCATGCGCAACCCAATTTTGGTCATTCTGTCAAACACACATTGCTTGTCATATAGGGATCTTTAGTATCATCCGGACAGGAATTAGTGATCATCAGACCTCACATGAGACGAAAACATGCTCAGAAACGTCGTAATCATGGCCATTGTTATTGTTGCTTGCCATGTTGTCAGGGAGTTGACAGCAGGCATTTCCTCCCACTTCAGCATAGACGATACTCTGCGCCCAGTCTATGACTTCACCCGCGACCAGCGGCTGTACATGAAATCCTTTCAGAGGTCGTATTTTGCGGGTCACTTGAGTTGCACGGGGGAGTTTAAATCCCATCGGATACGCGCAGGTAGATGACTCTCCGATGGTATCAATTGCGGTACTGACACCTGGTCTAGCTGAGTCACGCAGGGAGGAAATGGCACAAGGGACATGAAAGAGATGAAAAGGTTATAAAAACAATCTGAATACAATATACCATCGGAAGGATGACGACTGTTTGTATACAAGGCAGCGCTAGGACACCAAGACCAAACCAAAACAATAATACCAACGATGCATGCCATGTGTATGCTAGAAGGGCCAAGCTGAAGCAAGGTCATATTCGTAGAGTATCCTACAGCCAGTGCCCATCAATAAGAGACTGGACCTTGTGCACTAGTCTACGTCCCCTATCGTCCATCCACCAGTGTGCGCTCAAATTGTGGATGATCACCCCATAGCCAGCTCGCAAGAATCACAAAGGCAAATGGGTCAAGCTTTTCAATCAAGCTGAAAATGCCAGGCGGGAGATGAACTGAGAGGCTGCAGTACTAACGCTGATGCTTGGGTGAAGCTCTATGCTCTCAAAAGACAGCTGAAGCGCTTGCATCGCCTGAATGTACATGTTTGAATGTGGGTCTCCAGCATTGTGAGAATGGGATTGACTAAGATACTCCAGAGGAGCAATGATCTGCTCATCGAGTTTCCCATGGTGGGTGGCTATTGAATCCAAAGGCTCTGGCATTGTAATAAGGGCCGCTAGATGCCCATCCTGTACACAATGATGAACCTGCATCAACACCATCGTCAAGCTTTTGCTGATGGGAACGATTTTGAGAAACTCTTTGATGGGATCACAAGTGCTCCTCGGCTGGGTACAATGGGAAGGGAAAAGGTAAAAATAATGATAATATTCGAGAGTACATAAGCAGCGTCAGCATTAGATTCATAGAGATGTTCGAGTTGAGATAAGCCTTCAACAATCTAGGAATGGTGAGTCTGCACTAACTCTAGATATGTCGTCCGTTCGGAATATGTGCTGGAGAAGGCGGAGTGTAGCGCTGATAATGCGAGGATATTGTGCATTAGAAATGGCAATCTCCAAATACATGAGAACAAGTCATTCCAGGAGGGTGCCTGGTGTGTGTGGTTGCACCACTGCACAATGAGCTCGAGATTGTGCAGTTCGATGCTCGCTACGGAGTAGATAGGACGCGTATTACTTGGGCAGGCAGACCATTGCTCAAGATTAAAGCCGGGCTCGGCCTCCGTTTGCCAGACGCTTTGGCCACAATATACGACCACTCAAGGCAGGTATAGCTACACATCGCGTCGCGTTGGGCGCATTTCCACAGCGCGACCTGGTTTTATCGCACTAGGTAGGTATCAAGCCCGACTACTTTTACCAAATCCTAGTAATCATAGCTTTGGCAATCTGACATTGATTCGCTTGGTCTTACAGTGGGCATTGATCGATTCAGAGAAAAAGCCGTCTGCTCTCAGTAGGCCGACCGTATAGCGTACATTATACCGCTTCGAGATTAGATTTGGCTTACCTCTTAGGGGGCAGGACGCAATACCCGGCAATATCACCGCAAAGCTTCGAAGGCTTCGGAGGTTGAACGAGATCCGTTGAATTTCCTTAAGTCATATCAGTACTCTAGAATTCGGCTTTTTGGGACGCTGGGCTTAATAGCAAGGAAATATACCTTGATTCCTACAAGTTATCTTAGCGGCATACTTTCTGGCTAGATATATAAACGTATGGTAGTAATCATACTACTTGGTAGTAGATCATGAACCCAGTGGACACCCACTTGAATATTTAGCTTTCATATCATGAAAGGAGCGAAATTAAATCGATCAAGGTTTCCGGTACAATACCATAGAAGATTATCATATATTATCCTATTAACACTATCTGAAATCGGGTCTCACGTGGTCTCATATCATCAATCAAGGTAAATACGAATGTATGTCTCATTTCCTCACCTTCCGATCCCCAGTATCAGAGAGTATAGATTGGAGATCGGAACTGTTATTGTGAAGTATCCCTTGTATTGAGTTGATCACTAGGTCATTGACTGGCACCTTCGCCGACAGGACCAAATCACGCATGGCTTCGGTGTAATATGGGATCACGACGCCATCGTATTCCACTTCTCGTGTGACAGCATCGAGGCTGAGATACCCATTCCGCAAAGAGCTTCCTTGCGCCTGCACGAGAGGCAGAAGATTCTCTATGATTGTGTGCATATCTACCACCCCCTCGAGTGGTGTCGAGTGGTTTCCGGGTCGTAACGTCAAGTTGTTGATAGTCGCATTCCCTACTATCAGATCTTTGCTTTTCAAGTCCATGGTTATATTACCCTATTTCTTGGTCAGCCTCTATTCGACAGCGTAGAGTAGTCGATACATACAATCTCTATGGTCATGACCGATGGATTTGGCAATATCGCATTTGCAACTAGATTCACCCCGTCATCTCGCGGCGGAAAAAGCATTTTCGGGTGGTCGATCGAAAATCCAGCGAAAGAATTGAGAGCTACATTATTAGTTCATATTGATATGATGTCCCATTTTCCTCTTTGTATCTCCAGGATTAACACTTACTGTTTTGAGGGAGGTCCTTCTTCAACGAAATATGACTCTTCAGTTTTCCCAAGTATATGTTGGTGTTTCCAAACGCAGATAACGGAGCATGTGGCTCGAAGACCACGCTGCGAACGTAGTGTTTCCATGGCCCTGGGTTCACTGGACTTGGCTGGTTCTGAACCCCAATACTTGCGGTTCCCTGGATTTCTAGAGCATCGTTGTATACTTTCAAATACGTGCTATTTCCCGGTTCATCGTTATTGAATAGGTGGAGAACATTTGGGTCAAGGCGTACGGGGACGTTGACGGGAAGCTTGAGTGCGGTTTGGATACTGAGCAGAACAGACTCTGGTCGGGGTTGCATGATCTTAGCTTCCACTAGGACGAGCGATGCATTGTCGATCACTCGCTGGGAGATTGCTTGGATGATGACGGTGAAACTGGATGTATCAGCTATGAGTTGAGGGCTGGAGATATGGCTGAGAGACGTACAAGAGTGGAAGAAAAATAGCCAGGAAAATAATGGCACTGACCAAATAACAGCACCAAAACCGGGTCCAGTGCTGGCGCACCTTCCCTCTGCCCTTCAGCGAGCTGCTATCTGCCAACTCTACATGTGCGATCTGGGATTCAACTATATCCTCTTTGGCCAGAGGTCCACGATTTGCCCCGAGGGCATATTTTCCAGCTTTGGTGGTAAGATAGGATGGTCTCTCAGCCATGGCTTTGCTTTGGGAGGTGGTTTGTGGAAGGCATTGGGAAGCATGGTCGTCAACGTATATATACAAAGTAGCATCGCTGGACTCCTCCAGGATCCACAGAATTAATTCGACTAGGGTATTTCATAATAAGCCATGCATGTGATATTAATTCTGGTTCCCACCTTCCCACCCTCGAAGGCAACAAGGGTATTGCGTCAGATGATAAATAATCAAGAAATTGCCCTGAGATGGCTCCATCAATCCAGAAAAACATAACTAGGGATCCGCAATGGGCAGTCGGTCCACTCCGGGTTATTTATTGCTCCGTAGTGATCGACATGAGCTGTACAGAAACGGTAGGCATTGCGAGTCCCTTCCCGAGATTGAGATCCACTTGAGCAGCTCAACATCATGTTCCTTCCTATGCAAAGACTTTTCGATTCAAGTGCGCTCAGGTTTATTAAGAGCGGCAACAGAGCCAATGTCTCAAGGTCGAGGAAGGTTAGGATATACCAGGACTTTCTGGCGCATTTCCATCGGAATGAGGGTTGTGGGAATCGGCCCTCTGCAATATAGCATCCCAGTAATCTTGCTTCTCCTTGTATACTGTAACGTAAGGAAGGCCGTCAGAAATAAGAAGCGGATAGGCTTTCCCACGAGGCCATCTCGTATCGAAATCCTGCCGAAGACCATCTGTTATTTTTGCTGTCATTCCTGGCATTTCCTCTTTGTTAGAGGATACAAACACCACAGCTGGTTGAATATCAATAGGATAGTGGCTCTGGCATCCCAGCAATATATCGTCCAAATACATATTTTGTGGCGGAGTTTGAGTTTGGCACAGAGAAGCCACGAGTCAGAATGATAGGCATTTATTTTCAGAAACCCTTTTGTCTTTCATTTCCGTTTCGGCTTTTTCTTGATATAATTGACTAATACAACTAATCAACGAAGTATACGCAAAGGTTAAGGACGTTCAACACCTATTTAGGGCATCAGCATATGTACAACCTAACTTAAAACTATGGTGAAGTGGATATAATGGCTTACCGTGCTTCTGAAGGCCTCGTTCACTTAGCATAACAAGATAAATACCCCCAAATACCCTTCGTACCAATTGAGATTCTGAAATCGAACAGTTCTACGGAGGAGTTCATGTCCTGACCAAGCTGGAGTCATGGCCTGTTCTCCGTCTGGCCTTCCAGAGCACGCGAGTGCCAAGAGCTACGAACTAGGGGCATACTAGTCTGAGAAGGCCGAACTTGAAATAGTTACTCTAAGAGCATTATCGGCCATACTGCAACGTTCATCGAATGCCGCTTGCATAGCCCTGGAGTCTGGGCGGGTAGCCCTCGCTATCCTTGATCGCACCTTACTATGGACCTGACCGATGAGGCTATAGGGCTGTCGTGGACCTGACATTCATACAAGCATTGGGCTCCGTGGTATCTGCGTCTCGGTATATGATCAAGAACTAGAGTCCGGGTTGCTAAAATGGTGCTTGGAGAAGGCACGCTAATAGCATGTTAAGGGGGTGGGAAATACCCATCGGTTAGGAGATGCTCATGCAAAGTTGTTTGGCGACATTGGTTGTGGACGAAAAGGACTGACATATTTCCCTTCCATTCGACCGAGGATAGGAACAATCTTGAGGTAGCGTGCAGAGGTTAATTAGCTTGGCCGGTAACTCATGCGCCAACCGAGTTCTAATTCTACTTACGGTAGTTAGTCCGATTTGACCAGACATTTCCATCGTCTGTGGCTGGCGATAACTGCCCATTTGTATGTTAGCTGTGTCCATCCTGGCCAGTTCTCACACCTGATTTTCCCACGCCATTAGATCCTACAGGACTTGTGGATTCAGGACAGAGAGAAGCTCTCCGCCGGTAGCAGTAGGGACATCACGCTCCATCTTCACTCAGTTGTATCCCTTGTGTTGCACGTTCCGCATTCCATCGTAGTATGATTCAACATCCTACCAATTGTGGTCTCAATGCGGCGCGGTCTCTGGGAGACCAGAACCTTATACTTGATCAGAACAAGAGTGGCTGGGCGGAGTGACTCCAAATTCATGACTCTATGCATAAGGGACAGGGGTGTCTGCTGCACTATGACTGGGACAATATAATAAGTCACTGTTTCCCGGTGAGTTGGATCCCCAAGATTGTTGATGACCACGCTATCTAGGCTTGCTGGTCTGGACTTTGTTTCGGACCAGCGAAGGTATGGCAAAGGTATATGGAGGGAATGCCAGTTGCAATGTATAAGCTAAATTTCAAGGAGAGCAGTGAGGCTATGCCAGAAGAGTCAGCCTGTCTGGGCAGTCCCGCCACGACGATCCGGTAAAACTCGTTCGTGCATCTCTCTGATTGGCATGTCGGGGACTACCTGCGTGGTCTGGGCCAACTGATTAATCTAGCTGCAAAAGGAACTTCTGAGACATTGTACCTTTTGATGTCACGACGCGACGCAAGGTTCTAAGGCGTTCACCACTTATCAACAACTGATGAAGTTGCGGCTGTGCTAGGGAGTTGAACACATGCGGGCGGGTCTTGAATTTAGGTAATAGTTGCAAGGCTGAATTGCCACGTGTCGAGTAAACTGTATTCGGGTCTGGCGCGTTAGGTGCCAACTAGCTGCACAGGGAAATTGAACTCTTCCTGCCGCTGCTGTCGAGGTTAGATTGATTGACGATGTTTGATATGCCATTGAGCATAATTCGATCACCAAACGATTTGACCTGGACCCCTGGATTCCGTCCAACGAGGCCTTGTTTCATAGTATCCTATGGGCGTCGATCATGCAGTGACGTACTGGACCTGACACAGTGTACGGAGTCAGCCAGGTCATTATCAGGCTATGGGATGGATGTGTGGGAGTTACAAGTGACCACTCGCAGGTTAGACGTGAATCCGCGCAAAGACCCAGAGCGTTCTTGGTGAGATGATTACGAGCCGACCGCGGGAATATTACAAGGCCTCCATGGTTGATAGCACCAGGGGATATAGCATCCACTAGACTAGGGTCAGGCAGGGATTGGCATTGTCTAGGTCGATTAAATAGCGGCCAATTCCACCCCAGCCAGTGCAAACAAAGAGAATCTTTCTTCCTCGCTCTTTATCTCACGCTCCAGCTCTCATTCCGACCTTCGTGAATCTTGTTCCCACGCCCAATATATTTTCACCACCATGGAGTATTGCAAACGAATCTGGCCACAGATCTTCCCTGCTCAAGCTGCTCTGACTTCAGCCACTCTTCCGTCCCAAGTGGGCCGCGTGGTGATCATCACCGGTAGCACTGCAGGTATTGGCCTGGCGCTCACACGGATTTACTATGACGCTGGAGCCACGGTTTACATGGCAGCCCGCAATGAGACCAAAGCGCATGCGGCCATTCAAGCCATCACCACTACCAGCACTTCGCAAGCTCCTGGGGTGATCAAGTTCCTTGCCATCGATCTCTCCGACCTCCGTACCATCCAACCCTTTGTCACTGCCTTTCTATCGCAGGAATCACGCCTCGATGTGCTCCACAACAACGCCGGGGTTGCTTGCGTGCCACTGTCGCAGCGCACGGCCCAGGGACTGGAGCCGCACATGGGCACCAATTGTGTGGCCCCGTATTTGCTGACTTCGCTGCTGTCGGATATTTTAGTCTGTACGGCAGCCGCACCAGATACCGTACCCAACAGTGTGCGGGTGATTTGGTCCAGCAGCTTGCTTGTCGACACCTCGGCACCGTCGGAAGGAGTTCCGCCCGAGGAACTTGAGAATCCTAGTGAGGATGCGATTCGAAATTACACCATCAGCAAAACCGGCAACTGGTTCCTTGCCGATCGCTTTGCAAAGCGATTCACCTCGGCGTCGGTGGGGGCAAGTGACAGTCTGGCTTCGGCGAAGCGTGTCGTGAGTATCACCGCGAACCCGGCCACCGTCCGCACGGGCATCTACGATAATGCACCGCAGATCGCGATCTGGTTGACCATGCCCTTCTTCGCGACTGTGGAGGATGGAGCGCATACCTTACTGTGGGCCGGCTGTAGTGAGGATATTACGGTGCGTGACGGGGGGCGTTATGTGATTCCTTTTGGACAGTGGCATCCGAATCCGAGGGCGGATCTACTGGAGGCGATGGCCGGGGGGTATGCACAGCAATTCGAGGCATGGGCCGAGAAGGTGACGCAGGAGTTTCGGTGAAGATCGAGCCATGGTAGGCAGGAGGCCAGGCAAGGCTCCCTCTAGAATACATGAGTGGGCCATGGCATTCTGAACTAGACGAACCCATAGCGTGTCATTTAATGGTTGCAACCCCTACTATTCAAGTCATCCTGGGCAAGTCTATCGAAAAGATCACCGGTCTGATCATCGTTCCTCCACCGAAGAGATATTGGGGATCTCAGATTCATGACATCAATTGGTGTAGAAGCAGTGGAGACGATGTGGCGCAGGCCGTTCGGCATATTCCGTAAATAAAATCGCCCACCTCAAAGTCAGCTTCGTATCTGCCCCACGTCCAGCTGGGAACGAACCTCTGACCACGACGCCATTTTCCTCTGCAAAGACACCATATCCAGCCGATCCGAGAACACATCATTCACCATGCCGACGACCTCCGATCCGATCGTCTTCTATGACATTGCCCCGCGTCCCCCCGTGGAGAAAACCTGCTTCGCGCCAAACCCCTGGAAAGCGCGTCTGGCCCTGAACTTCAAGAGTCGCCCGTATGCAACCACATGGGTGCCAATGCCCGACATTCCCAAAGTCCGCAGTGGTCTGAAAGTACCCGCCTGTCGCAAATTTGCCGATGGTACCGACTTCTTCACGCTGCCGATCCTCGAGGATCCCGCCACGGAGTCGTTGGTTGGCGACTCCTTCGATATCGCCGTGTACCTCCAGAAGACCTATCCGGACTCCGGCGCCGGCGACCTCTTTCCCCCTCAGAAGATCGACTATGCCTTCACCCATCCTGCGATCCTGATCCCGCTGTCGGAGTGTGACGACACTGAATTCCCGGAATACGCCAAGTTCAACATGAACGTCGACGCGGCCTTCACAGCACATGTACAGCTTGGACTCCAGGGCTTTCCGTTCGATCCCGCTACCGCCGAGGCCAGTAAGGAGGAATTTGTCCGGCGCGCGGGGTGACCTGCTGGGAGGACTTGTTGTTGGTGGGCGAGGCGCGAGACAAGATCAAGGATTCGTTCCGGGATATGCTAGGGGGGCTGGTTCCGATATTCTCGAGGGACACCAGTGGGCCATTTCTGCTCGGCACCCGGGCGAGCTATGCAGACTTGATCGTCGGTGCCTGGCTGCGGATGATGCACGTCACCCTCCCGGACAGTGAATGGGAGGAGGTGGCCAGTTGGCATGGGGGTCTGTTTGGGCGCTTGCATGATGCGTTGGACGTCTATGCGGAGGTGAAATAGAGTGATGGATCGAGCGTTTCTCGTACAGCAAATGCAGGGTCACGACAATGATATCGGTCGCCTTTCGCGAGCAAATTTGGTAACACTACAGGATTGTATGGATCTACATTGCATTTTATAAATGACCAAGCACATGGGGGCAACAATGTATTCAAGGGCTGCCGGGCCATGGTGATAGAAGACATGATTGTAATGAATGACGCTATCGACTCCAATTCTTTCGTGCAGCACTGCTTTGTTGTGGAGAGCCTCGGGAACGCCTCGATCTGCTGCGGAATGCGCCGGGTCGCAGCAGGTGGCTCCCTTGAGCACTCCACCGTCCGGCTGGAATCTCTTGGGTGAGGAGAATTACGATGCCCTGCTTCGTGTTTGACGGATTATGCGTGGCCTGAGTGTCCGACGATGTGAATCTGGGGGCCGATGAGAAGAAAGCAGGGTGAACATAGTCGTGCAGGCACATCCAACGATGCCAACGAAGCGACCGCGGTGGAGGAAATCCAGTGAACGGCGGTAAAGACGTTTCCTCTTGAGCCCCAGCCTCATTCCCTAGATTTCATAAGGTCTCTGCAAGTTTCGACCTGGAGGGACTTAATGCTGTAGCTCGGTTACTGCGAAGAGGGTTTCGGTGCCTGGAATGGCATCTAGTAGATAATCCCTAGTTTCTGCACCTGTAGCTGCTACAATGATTCATTTAGTCCGTAATAACCCTGTCACGATGGCCAGCCCTGGTCAACCAGCATGATATTTTCCATAAATCTGTACTAGTTCACAGTCTTCAAAACATCATCGATGGGTTGAAGCGTATTGAATGCTTGGCGATGTAACCTCCTCGTATTGCAGGACCAGAGACTGCTACCCCGAGAACTGAAGAAGACTCATTCAGTTTTATACTGTACATTATGAGCCCGACCCATCTCAAACCCATGCGTGTCCGCAATCTGTGCCATGACGTGATCTAACCAAGCAATCTCCGAATCCGACTCTAAATTCCGTCGTGCCACGTTCAACGGAAAAATGAGCATCAATGCCCCCACACTGCCCTGGATACAGTCGAGATGATAATCGACCATCCGGAGGATCTCAATCGCAATATCCCGTCGCGTCCCTTGGGCGGGAAGTAGAGGATCACTGGTACTTTCTTTCCCAGTCGGCTCTGGATGGCAAGCCAGAAACTGGTACATCTTCAGCACCAAGAGCAGCGTGGAGTCATACATACACAGCTCTTGCGCGCGGGAGAAATCATGAAACCAGAGGACTGTTTCGAATGGGCGAGGCGCAGATGTCGATGGCAGCGGAGATCCTTGCACGTTCCGATCCGCAGAAACAAGATAAGAGGCGCCAGGAAATGTCTCCTCCCATTTCCATCGCCAGACGTACAACTCCTCCAGCATGGACAGAGCTTTCCGACACAGTCCGATTCTTGCCGTCTCATCCCCTCCGACCAGGAAAGCATCGACAGCCTCCAGCAGACCGGGCGCATCGCACATGATATCATGGAGACAATCTATCAATGTCTTGGACTCTGGCTTCTCAGCCCACGGAATGGTCTTCCATTGTGGCTCTTCCAGAAAACATCGTTTGCGACTTGCAATATGCGCTATCGCCTACCTAACCGTCAGTCATTCCAAGACCACGGAATGTACGGACAACCTACAATATTCTGCCTCAGCGTTGGGTACAACGCAAACCCCACCCCATGCGTATGCCTCCCGGGCCCGCGGAAGGCAGTCAATCGCGCCAGGCCCTTGTAATGCTGCATCCAGGCGTTGGGGACGGTAAACGCAATGGACTCATACATGGCGAGATAGATAATCACCACGAGCAAGTCTTCGCGGAGAGCATGTTCAGGATGGTAGAGTTGCAGTTGCAACTCTTTCAACGCGTCGGAATACCATCTTGATCCCCTGTGGAGGAGATCAGGGTGGTTGTGGACTTGGCCAAAATACGCTGTCGAGAGCGCGCGGAGCGATGTTTTGGATAGGACTAGAGCTTTGTCGCTCGCCGTGTTGACGTCTGGTTGGCTCAGGTGGAACGAGATGGTCGAGGCCAGGTGAATTGCTTCGGCGTCGTGCTGATTGAATATCTTGTGCACGAGATGTGTCGTGAAGATGTTGTCTTCGTCCCTGGTCGGGGTAATGATCCATGGGGATCTGCTCTTTTCTTCATGGATCAAGAATCTCGACCGGGCCAGGGAGGCCTCAGCCTTGGTCCGATTCTGGGGGAATCGCTTGGTCTCGTCGTGAAATTCAGCAAATGCGACGTAGCCGTCGCATCGGTAGCCTCCTTTGGTGCACCGATCGCAGTGCGGCTTGGCCTCATCTTGGATGTCGTTAGTGGGACATGCTGTCACACCTCGCAGGGGAAATCCAACCGCATTTAACACGTCGTTTCCGACAGGTCTTGCAACCTTTGCTTCTTCCAGGGATTCCGACCATGATGATAGTGTTTGTGGTTACCCATCTGCGCTCGTCAGGGACGGTAGTGGAGTTGGTGTCGGTGCGGGGGATTTAGTGTGAACAGAATCCTATCGCTTAGTTGGAAGAGCCTTGTTGACCTCTCCGAGTCCTATGGGGATTTCTACGACGTGAATATACCACGAAATAAAACACCAGTGGAGACTGAGATCATTCTGGTATGGTAAAGTAAACTAGAGTCTGCTTCATCCCCCTGCGTGTGCTATTTTTGACCTCATCCCGGTCTTGATCTAGGAAATGGATTACGCCTCAGCTTGCGTACATGTGGGGTCAAAATACGCCCTGATAACAGCCTTATTTCTGCCGATGAACTGGCTGCCGCGCGGCATATTTTCGGTACTTCTCGGCCGTGCTTGCCCGGGCTCTCTTCCCATAGACCATCAAGAGAATCGGCAATGTCACGGTGACCAGGGCCAGCATGCTGATGAGAATGAATGTATTCTCGATTCCCATACCGGTGATCCAAGGGGTGAAGGCAAAGCGAACCACCATTGCAAACCCATTCCGGATGAAAACAATAGCAATCAACGCATCACCAAGAATCTGCACGGTTCATGAGCCTGACAGTTCTATATACTTCTATATATTCGTGGTGGACTCACATCAGGATAGCAGTCAGTAAGATATGTCAGGGCCACATCAGCTGTGGTAATAAACCCGAAACCATATATTCCTTGACCCACGGCGAGCAGAGCCCAATGCAGACCCTATGCTGATTGTTAGCCTTCCAAGGGGAGATAGGTTGTGGTAGAGGAGACAAGTATGTTACTTTTCCTAGTCCAATACCATAAATTAGCAAGCCGGCGCAGTTCAAGAGAGCCCCTGGAATGCTCATCCAAAGACGCATTTCGGGCTCGAAGATTCCACCATTCTGCTTGGCCGCTCGGACAATGAGCCTGTCGTTCAGAGCTGGAACGATCAGCGTCGCGATGAAGGTGCCCAAAAACCCCCCTAGGTGGAATAGGCCAATTGCAGACGGGCTGAATTGATAAGGTTCGTCCAAAAGGAAGTAAGAGCCTGACGAAGCATTGGCCGAAAACCAGGCCAGGATCGTGCCGTATGTGATGGCCGTGTAGGTGACAGCGGGGAAGGAGAAGAGAATGAGCAGCGGCTGGTAGAAGTGCTGGGCTACTGGTATGTCTGTGCGGGTGACGAAGGCCAGGCGTTGTCGAATCGACTTGCGTCTGCGACGGGTATCTGCCGTTGAACGAGTAGTTACTCGGAGGGTACGCGGTTCCCCAGTCTTCTGGTCAACATCATATTTCGGTGCACCCTCTTGGTTATTATCAGTGGACTCGGAATGACCGACCACGAGGGGGATGTATTTTGACTCCTCGAAGAAGAGCAGTACGAGGGTTAAGTTGACGGCAAGGAAGATGCAGATCATCCACCACATCCATCGCCACCCCATCGACTCAATAATATACCCAGCAGCAATCGGGCCCCCTGTGGACGCCAGGCTCTGCATAAACAGAAAGATGCCATTCATACGAGCATGTTGATGGACAAAGAAGAGGTCGACAATAGTGATCATGACCACGGCCTCGCTGATGGAGCCAGCGAGTCCAGCCAGCAGACTGACACCGATGAGTTCCCCGGCCTTGTGAAAGTTTGCCCACCAGATAGCACAAGCAAGCTGTACGATCGCACTGAGCAAGTAAATGGGACGACGGCCAAACTTGTGGACGCAGGGGATAAACAACAGGCATCCAATGGCAAGTCCGGCAAAATTCGACCCACTTGCCTGGTTGAAGGTCGCGTAGGTCAAACCCAGCTCGGACATGTAGCTCGATAGGCCAAGCTATTGATATCCACGAGGACAAAGGTGAAGAGAACATATGAGCAAGTGAGCCCAAAGTTGACGGCCTTCCTGAACGGGGACCAGTTCTGCACCTTTCGTTAGCGGCAGAAGCATGGAGCAGGGGTTTACGCACCAAAGGGTCATCAGGATCACTGGAAGGAGTGGGACTCAGTTTAAATTCAGACACCAGTCCTTGCCCTGAAATAGTGAGTGTGAGGCTCTACACCTAGGCCCTGCTTTTAAGGGCCACATACGTTCTTCAAGTTTGATTGTCCCTGGCGGAAACACAGCATTGAAGTCTGGACTCGACATTGTGGGCAGAGTAAAACTGACAGTTGGATACACCATGGGTTGAGGAGCCGGGCATAGCCAATGCTTTATATTTACCGCAGGGCTCTGAATTGTCCGGCGAGTTGAACACTCAGTCTTTTCGTATCTTCTAGAGCGGGGGTGTTAAGACATACGGGTTGGTACCATCGGCGACGCTGTCATGCACCAATGACAGGCCGCAACCAGCCGGTGGATTGGTAAGTTACACCCTTTTCGGGCTGCCCATACATACCGATACGCATTTAATACATCGATATCAAATGTTGACCTAATGAGAAGACGACCTTATCGTGGCAATCACAGAGGGATACTGAGGTTATCATCCGTATCAAATAGGTCGAACAGATACTGCAACGTTCCTTCGTCTCGGCTGGTCCAGACACGGGTTAGGAATTGCCGAAGATTCGCCACGAAGGGGTAGAAGCTCGCGCCGTTGATGTTCTGCAATAACGAAAGGATGTTTTCCCGGCCAAAAGAGCCCTGAATCTCAGCTCCAGCCACAAGTAGGACCAATGATATATTTGGAGGATATTGTTTCGCCATCGCTAGACAATGCTGCATCTCCCTTATGATTGCCCGGGAAAGGAGCTCGGCATCATCATCTCGCTCTCCAAAGGGGAATCGTAGCCTGTGCAAGATAAGAAGCGTCGCATTGCGATGGAGACTAGCCTGCGTAAGAAGGAGTACCATCTCCTGCTCCGAGAAGCGCTCAATGGTCGTAACTGACACACTGGGAGCCCATGCAATGATCTCCGCACGAAGGGTATCGAACTGATCAGGAGGGATAGGTACGTCAGATCCCTTCCTGATGGCGACCCTTAGAAGGCAAGCACGATAGAGAAGGGGTAGGAGAGATCCACACAGGCCCGCATGGTGGTTGACAAGGTATGGATCACGCACACGATACTCGATAACGGGGATCCTCGCTCGAAAAAGAGACTCCGTGACATCAAGGAAGACCAGACAGAGCAATTCTCCCATGTCCGATTCCGGTAAGTGTTGGGAATAATAGAGCGGGCGTACCAGTGAGAGTGTGAATCTGCAAATGGTGCTCCCCGAAATGCTTGAGATGAGGCGGTGGAATGTCACCAGACTCAACCCCAAGGATAACAGGTTGCCCGCATGCTCGGGGCTGGTAATCTGGGCGTTACGCAATGTCTGTAATGCCGATGCACAGCGAGACCAGTCGCTGTCGCTACAGGGAGCCTGGTTTGTCGTCGAGCGCAGAAGGACGCGGGTTACAGCCGCGTAAGGATCAAGCAGTAGCATCGGGGCCTCCCTGATGCGGGCGCGAATCATCCGGCTCATCTCACGACTTAGCGACTCTCCAAGCGAGAAGAACTTACAGATCTCGACCGCCGTATACTCGGATACACGAGAGACTGTACTTTCCCAGCGCAGCAAACTCAGAAGCTCGATCCTTGGGACACTTGGTCTCGTCATCTCGTGATTCCCATCTCCATGTGTGGCAACAACGGAGAGGTTTGAAGTGGGACCGGTGTCACTGCGACCTGTCATTGACGCTGATGTTGTGCCCGACGCAACGCGTGGCTTTCGCCCTGGTCGCTGGCGTCGCCGCAAGTATGTGCACGGGTAATGCAAGCGATAGCAACGGTAGCATGTCTCTCCTGGCCCCACCAGGCACCGCGACCTGACTGTGTGGCATCGATCACAAGCGGATGGGCGCATGGAGAGGGATACTAAACCAGTCTTTCTTGGTTGGTGTGGGTGTAGATGAGGAGATTCCAGTGTCGGGAAGAGATCGTGTTGGAGACGTTCACAAACTCGGGCTTGGCACGTCCACACGAGTTCACTTTTGACATACTACCCTATCGCGTTTATATAGCTCTATTCTTTTTTCTTTTCGTTTCGTTTCCTTTTTTTACGACGATCAGACAAGGATTGTACAATATGTGTCCGATTCCCGTCTAACTTTAGTTGAATAGAGATGATTCTACGTGTACTGAGCTGATTGTTGCAGGATATATATTTCAAATCGTATCATGTCTATCTCGCTACATCCAACTATTCCGCCGGTCCGAAGCGTTCGGCAGGTCATGCCACGTCCGATTTACGCCCTCAGACACCGATCGATCAGCTTCGACATCTGTAGACACTCCTCGTCCCGCATTGTGGTGGTAAAAAGTTGAATTCCACATGGGGCCCCTTCGACTGAGTGATAGTCATCTAATGATATTAGTCGTCAGGTCAGAATCAATCGCTCGACACTTACATTCTGGTGCGATTTGATCGTCGCCCACCTGGAAGGGCTCTGTAGCATCCAACTCGTTGACCTGTCCAAAGGGAATGACACACGCCGGATACTTATCAAATGTCAGCTGGCAAAACAAAAACAGAGTGAAGACAGCATACATCAAGACAGTTCAAGAAGATGGTATAAGGTGCAGGACCAAAGGAGTCATGGGCTACAGCAGTGTTTTGCGCCGGTGGTGCAAGACAAATATCCAGATTATGTTTGGTCCACATGTTTCGATAGTCCTCCTTGAGTTCGGCTCGACGAGTGTTCAGAGCGGCCAGCGTGGCCAAACGATCCATCGAACTCATATCCGGTAGGGATGATTTATGGAATTGCTTCACTTTTGCAATCTGGGCGCCAATGTGTTGTAATGCTGGAACCACGGGCTCGCCGGCAGAGATGACATGGCTGAGGGCGCCCTGATCCAGCCCGAAGATACCCAACGCAACTTCATTAAGTTCCTTGATACGGCACTCTTCGTGACTGAGAAGAATTATTTCATGACCGTGTTCTTCCAGGCGTTGTTTCGCTTTTGCCAGTATCCGTTTGACTGGGGGATGTAGCGGAAACACTGGATGCTCCGGGACAAGACCAATTCTCAATTTAGGTTTCACCGTAACCATTCGCCAGGGTACATCGATGACAGTGGAGTCATATAGACTAGGCTGGATATCGAAAACCGAGCGAAAGAAGACTTCTAGACCTTCAAGGTCCAGGGACAGAGGTCCAGCACACGAGAGGATAAAGCGCATTCCACTCGTTGAGCAGGCCCGAGTGCCTGCGTTTGGGACTCTTGATGCACTGGGTCGGAAGCCATAAGTTCCGCAACAAAGAGCAGGGACGCGAATGGAGCCTAAAGACCTGTCAACAAAGGAAAGTCAGGTTCGATGGCTGGGGTAGACCTACCGCCGACATCAGTGCCGACTCCCAATGGTGATCCTCGCAGCGCGACCAAAGCGCCCTCGCCACCACTCGATCCTCCAGGCGTCAAAGTAGTATTCCAGGGATTCAAGGTACGCCCGAAGACATTATTCTGCGAGTCGAGTGCCTAAAAGTCTCAGTTTTGATCCAACCATTGGGTTCAGCGATCTCACCATCATAGTCTGCGGTACGTTCGTCTTCACATAGATGACCGCCCCGAGTTTCAAGAGAATGTCCACAAGCGGTGAATTCCCAGTAGAAACCTCACCTAGGAACGAAACCATGCCGATCGTGGCCTCTGTTCCTTTATAGTGAAAGCTGTCCTTGATACTCACGGGGAGACCGTGAAGGGGACCGACCACCTGTCCTTGAGAGCGAAGTTGGTCCAGATACTGCGCTCGCTCATAGGCCTCGGTAAATATTGTCTCTGTAAGACAGGCAACCTACGACGATTAGCGGTTGAGACCTACAACCAAGGAAACCAGGGTATATACGAGTTGCTGTGCGATGGCAGCCCGCTTGCAGTACGCCGTAGTAACTTCCACCGAGCTTAGGTTTCCGCTGGCTAATGCCGCCAACAACTCCGGAACCGTGTACTCTTCCGTAATGTGCAGCTCGTGCTCGGTCATGATGCCAGATTCACGGATAATGTTCTTCTGGATCAAGTTGTTTTTGTGGTCTGCGAGAGGAGCCTGCAGGGAAGCCATGACTGCATCTGGAATACACCATTCGGCAGGGATTTTGTTGGCGCATGCCTGTTGTTTCCACTCGACTCGTTGTTGCCAGCTGGACTCTTCGTTGGAGCCCATTCTGACTGCAATGGTGGTAGCCTGGATCAATGCAAGACAATTTCTCAAGCCACAAACTTTTCTGGTTGGGCGGTAGATCTTTCTCGGTCGCTACTTGAATGTAGACCTTTCACCGTGAAGAAATCGAATGAATTGCAGGAGAATCGAAGAAGTTCGGATTGCCCATATCACCTAATCTTAGTCTCATCGTGTAGCATACCTAGCCGAGGCCCGGCGTTAGAGAATCCACCGGCTCGGTCAAGACTCTCGTTGGCTCCATCGCATTGCACTGTGGAGAGACCCACATGAGAAGCAGGTATCCACCATGAAAACACAACAGCGGCGATTCCCTGGGTGAGTGAGGGGATAAGTAATAGGTGAGGTGAGGTCGAGCAGAGCGATGCTTCAGGGTTGGCTTGATATCTTTCCCGATCTCCGTTCGCGAATACGGAGGATCATAGCGGCCACTCCGCAACAACACTTCCCCC